GATTTCAAAAAACATTTTTTGTTACTCCCATCTGTCATCTACAATTTAAATAAGCTTAATCAGGAGCCCATACTTATATTCTCTCTATTTATATGTTGTCTATGGACGTCAGTGGAGCGTAACTAATCCGCATTCTAAAAGTTGTAGGCTTTAAGCACATAGTTTATTTAACCATGTTAGCAAATATAGTGTTTAAACCGCCGCGAAAGGAAGGCGACAACTGTCGGAGTCACTTAAATATAAATCAGTAGGAATAAAGTGTTTTGTGGCTATGCACATCGTCACAGAGCTACTAAATTGAGATTGAATGTATTTTTCCTTTTTTCCCCAAGGCGCCCCCACGATGAATCCTGGAGAAAAGAAGAAGCGGAGGCGCCCCAGGCGAAAAGGGGCGCAAAACGCTGAGCCTCAAGGTAACGGACCAATCCGTATTGTCCAGCTTAAGGATTGGGCTGGGCTCACGCAAGAACCGGAAGTCCTTTTGATTCACCTCATGCTACATCTGGATCAGCTCACTGATTTCTTCAACTCGCAATCCATCAGTTCTCAAGAAATGGAACACCTCGCGGTGATATTCGAATCCCTCTTGGTCGTTAAATACCACGAGCACAGCTTCAATCATATTCTGGAGCTACTCGCCTCCTCGAGATTCTACGACGTCCACTTGGTGGGCTACCTCAACGGCCAGGAAGAGCCGAGTGGAGGTAAGGTGGCGCCCATCGCTATAGTCTTCGTGGAAGAGATCTCTCGTCGGTTGCCGTCTAGAATACACGGCTGCAGAAGTTTTGTTCTGTGCATGTGTCAGAAGTACGCGTCGTTCAACTGCGAGCTTCAAGCCGTCAACAAAATGATTAACTCTTTCAACGCGGCCGTGGAAAGAAGCTCAGTGAAAAACTCGGATGCTTCGAATTCACTAGAAGATTTCAGGGAACTGACAGTTTTTCCAACAGAAAAAGACACGGAAGATGGCGTGAGTCCGTTTATTCGCAGAAACCAGGTCGCTGGGGCTTTCAGCGACAAAAGGCATTACTTTGATGTCGTGTTTAGATTACTAAGAGAGGATTTTTTCAGACCATTGCGTGAAAGCATTGCTCACTGCAGGAAAGGGAACACGAAATTTACAGACTCCGCTGCCATCATTTACAGCAACGTAAGGATTGTCAGCGTCCGTCTAGAGAATGGCATAGAGCACGTCTTGTTGTTGGACATTGCAAGACTCAGGGCCATCAATTGGGATTGCACAAAGTATTTCAAGACCGGGAATCTCGTTTGCGTTTCTCGCAACAACTTTAAAACAATCATGTTTGGAGTGGTAGGGTTCAATACTGTCAGGGGCGTAGCTAACGGCCGTGTGAGGGTGTACTTTCACAATTGTTTCGAGGCCGTCTACGGGATTGCTGCAGATGAAAAGCTCAAACTGATTGAATCGCCGTCTTTCTTCGTGGCGTACAGATACGTGCTGGAAGGGCTACAGGACATGTTTGATTTACATTTACCGATGGAACCTTACCTCGTACAGTGTGTACCTGAATCAAAACAAACTTCTTACTTGACCGACACAACGTGCTATGATCTCAGTAGCATCAAAGGCGATGATTTTACACACGTGAAGTGGACGCCACAAAAAGTTATTCCAACGGATTCCTGGCCACGCTTGACCAAAGTGTGTCTAAATGAAGAGCAATATGCGGCCGTAAAGGTGGCGCTGACGCAAGAACTGACCTTGCTGCAAGGGCCGCCCGGAACCGGGAAGACGTACGTAAGTTGGAAGCTTATGAGGATCCTTCTTGAAAACAGAGGCCGCGGTGTTCCTGACGACAGACCCATTCTCGTGGTGTGCTTCACCAACCACGCCCTTGACCAGTTCCTCGAGGGGTTGCTGCCGTTTTGTGAGAAGGGAATAGTAAGAGTCGGTGGCCGAAGCAACAGCAGAGCTTTGGAGCCTTTTAATCTCAGGGAGATCTCTCGCAGGAAGCGTTCCAATTTGCTTTCAAGGTACACAAAAACTGTGCGCCGGAAAATAACCTCGATAGAGCGTGACCTACGAACTTTGACCCAAAACATGAAGATGTTTCAAGCCGAGATCCCCGATATTGATGATTTAAAAGATTTCATGACAGAGTTTCACCTCAGAAATCTGCTCAGCGGTGTACCATCCGATACGGCCCAATCGATGCTTTTAAGGACATGGCTGAACATGGCCAAAGACAATCTGGGGAGCTCATTGGTCAACAGGATTGAGGCTCACCTGATCGCCTGTCTTATGGAGGAAAAAAACAGACGCAAGGACTCCTGTTTAGATTTCAGTGCTGACATTCCCTTTTCTCTCAAGGCTGCCGTTTACAGGAACTGGGCGTACAAATTTGAGAACACCTCGTGGGAATTATGTATTGACAAAATTCTGCCGGATGATAAGCTAAAATCTCATATTTCTCAAAAAGTCCTCACTGCCATTTATGATATGGGTTTCGAGAGTATCAAAGACTGGCTCTTGGGCAGAGACGCCGAAGAGATGCTTGACAACGTAGAAGAGCTGCAGGAAGAACTGTTTGAGAACAACGTGGAAGAGGTGAACAATGATGATGATCAAGAATATTATGACAGCTGGGATGATGACGACGATGATGATGATGACGACAGCGAATGTACCGAGGACTCTGGAGAGGAGCACCCAGATTCAGCTTCTAGTGCAGTGCACATCATATCGAGAGCTAAAATGCTCGGTGTTGATTTTTCAAGTGAAAATGTTCAAGAAAATCTCACAATGGAATTGTCTTCAGGTCAAATCATGAAGAAATTGCAAGTCGCTAAACCGATGACGGGTGAGGAAGAATCCAAAGTTGTGGATGTATGGAAGCTTAGCAGCAACAACAGATTTCGATTGTACAAGTCATGGTTTGAAAGACTGATGACGTCGATATCAAGGAAGATCCAGGAACTGACTGACAATTACAATTTGCTTCTTGAGCAAAAGCGTGAGATCAGGGAAATGAAAGATTTGGCCGTCTTGAAAAATGCCATGGTGGTTGGCATGACAACGACGGGCGCTGCCAGGAACCGGAAGCTGCTCCGAACGATCGGCCCGCGTATCATTGTGGTGGAGGAGGCCGCTGAAGTTCTTGAGGCTCACATCATCACGGCGTTAAACGAACACTGCCAGCACCTGATCCTCATTGGAGACCACCAACAGCTGAGACCAAGAACTCAAGTCTACCAGCTGGCTCAAGAATTCGGTCTCGAGGTTTCCATGTTTGAGAGACTTGTCAACAACAAATTTACTTGCATTCAGCTCGTGGAACAACATCGCATGCGACCAGAGATTTCGGTCTTCATGAGACTCATTTATCCTGATCTGAAAGACAGCGAGTCCGTTAAAGGGAGACCGTCTGTGAGTGGCATGGACAAGAATGTCTTCTTCATCAAACACAACCAACCGGAAAATAATGTGAAAAACGGCGCCAGCAAACTTAACAACTTCGAGGCTAGATACCTCATCAAACTTTGCGAGTACCTCATCATGCAGGGATATGGGGCTAACGACATAACAATTCTGGGTGCGTACTCTGGTCAGGTGACTTTGATACAAGAACTTATCACAAATTCTAAGAAACCGTGGCTTCAGACTGTCCATGTGTCAACCGTGGACAGCTTCCAAGGAGAGCAAAATAAAATAATTCTCCTTTCTTTGGTACGCAGTAACGTCAAAGAGCGAGTCGGGTTTCTCAGCACGGACAACCGCGTGTGTGTGGCCTTATCACGGGCTCAGTTCGGAATGTATGTGATCGGAGATATCGATCTGCTGGTGAGGCACAGTGACCTGTGGCGTAGAATTAGCGAGACCGCCGAGAGGCAAGAATGCATCGGGAGTGTGCTGAGGCTGCGCTGTCAGAATCAGAAACACGTTACAGACATTGGGGGGCTTGTGGATTTTGAAAAAGTAATTCATGCACGTGGATGTTTCCAGATATGCAAAGACCGACTCTCGTGTGGTCACCTATGCTTGAAGACATGTCATGTGGGTGGCCATCAAGCGCTTGAGTGCGATCAAGCGTGTTTAAAGTCGTGCCCCAATGGACACACCTGTACAGGAACTTGCGGCGAGGAATGTCCACCTTGTTTTGCACTTACTACGAAAACCCTGACCTGTGGACATTTGGTGCAGACTAAATGCGGCTATCAGTATGACATCGCGTGCACTCAGCCGTGCTTAAAAAAATGTCCGTCTGGTCATGCATGTGGCCTGAAATGCAATGAACCGTGTCAGCCATGCAAGAAGGCTTGCAAGTTTCGTCTTCCCTGTGGTCATCTGTGTTCTAAGCAATGCCACGTGAGTGGTCACAGCAATATTATCTGTAATCAACCATGTTTAAAAACATGTCCTTCTGGTCATTCTTGCGGCTTAAAATGCAGTGAACCGTGTAAGCCGTGCAAGAAGGCTTGCAAGATTCGTCTCCCCTGTGGTCATTTGTGTTCTAAACAATGCCACTTGGATGGTCACTACAATATCGTCTGCAACCAACCGTGTTTAAAAACATGTCCTTCTGGTCATTCTTGTGGCTTAAAATGCAGTGAACCGTGTCAGCCGTGCAAGAAGGCTTGCAAGTTTCCTCTCCCCTGTGGTCATCTGTGTTCTAAGCGTTGTCACTTGGATGGACATGACAACATCGTCTGCAACCAACCGTGTTTAAAACAATGTTTAAATGAACACAAATGTCCAGGAAAATGCAGTGAGGAGTGTCCACCCTGTGGTCAACTCATCAGCAAGTCCCTCACGTGTGGACATTTTGTGGAGACTAAGTGTGGGTTCAAGTTGTATCATCTTGTGTGCACCCAACCGTGTTTAAAGAAATGCCCATCGGGTCATCCGTGCCCCCTCAAATGTTATGACCGGTGTCAGCCGTGCACCCTTCAGGTCAAGCGCACCCTGTCTTGTGGGCATGAAGTTGTCACAGCTTGCAACATGAAGTCACTGGCTTGCCATCTGAGATGTAGGAATCTGTGCCCTATGGGGCATCAGTGTCCCGCAACATGCTCAGAGAAATGCCCTCCGTGTGAGGTGGCCGTCTGGAAGACGCTGAAGTGCGGCCACTCTATGATAGGAAGGTGTGGCTATGTTCAGATTTGTCCGCAGAGGTGCTCAAATACATGCGCGTGTGGCTATACCTGTATTAAAAAATGTGGAGAGCCTTGCTCAAGTTGCAGCAGCCAACTTACATGTGGTCACCGGTGCCTAGGGACACCCTCCTCCACGAGATCAGCCACGAAGCTCTGTCATCAATCATGCCGCTATGTCTGTAAAAATGGTCACTCGTGCCCTCAAGAATGCTGTTTTCCCTGTCCATCTAAATGCAGCAAAACCTTGCGGTGCGGGCATCAATGTAAGCAGCCGTTTGAATCTGCCGACACATATTCGACAAGAGGAACATCACTGCTATATGGTCTCTCTTTGAAGAATTTTAACATTTGCGATGAGCCTTGTAGGAACATCTGCGACAGGGGCCACGAGTGTCTTTCAAACTGTAGTGAGCCTTGTCTGCCCTGTCGAGAGAACTTGGAGTGTGGCCACAAGTGCAACAGCGTTCCTGGATGGAGACGTAATTTGTATTCATACAAGTCGTGCCAAGAGAAATGTAGGAAGACGTGCCGCCGAGGTCACAGCTGCCCTAAATTGTGCCGGGAGGCCTGCCCAGATAGCTGCCCAAAGTTGTCCTGCCTCATGACCAGTTTGTTTGCCTTCGACGTTGGATTCATGTCCCCCGAGGAAAGACTTGCACATTAATCTAACTCAAAAGTCTAGTTGGGAAATTATTCCATGAGATCATCCAGAGATCATCCAGAGATCATCCAGAGATCATCCAGAGATCATCCAGAGATCATCCAGATTTACTCGAAATGATTGGTCAGAATTTTTACATTCCAGAATATATGACATTTTGTGATCTTTCATACAACTCTTTCTGTCGCTGAATTTGCGCTCGTAATGGTGAAGCTCGTTCATGTAGTTATGCTTCAGGTGAGACTTAGAAATTGCTGAAGGTTCATGAGACTCTCCATCAAGTCGTGAATTGTATTCATGATCATTTTGTGGTGACGGATGCACGATAGATATTCCACCTCAGACCAGATCAAGTGGGGCCTTGAGTTTTTTTTTATAGTTTTCTTTTAAAAAATGCTTCTCATCATTGTATTGGTTGTGGGTAGCACATAGGTGGGTTCCAGCTGAAAGGGTTGTGGGTAGCACATAGGTGGGTTCCAGCTGAAAGGGTTGTGGGTAGCACATAGGTGGGTTCCAGCTGAAAGGGTTGTGGGTAGCACATAGGTGGGTTCCAGCTGAAAAGGTTGTGGGTAGCACATAGGTGGGTTTCAGCTGAAAAGGTTGTGGGTAGCACATAGGTGGGTTCCAGCTGAAAAGGTTGTGGGTAGCACATAGGTGGGTTCCAGCTGAAAGGGTTTCCTGTAGCAATGTGTCTCTTGAGATGATGAACTCTTTTTAATTTTTTTTTCATCAATGGTTTTCTGGTATCTTTTAATTTCTTTATGATGACAAACCTTTCACTATTTTGGAATTTAAACTTGAGATGGGCTGACATAGAAAGAAAGCAAGAGAGAGAAAGAGAGAGAAATATTATGAAAGAGAATGGTGTAAAAAGCGAATCAGTTTGAATAAGTAGTTAAGGAAGAACTCATATCTTATTCAATTTTTATTGTTTCAAATACCCCGTTGTTTTTTTTTAATTTTAACGTGCACTTGTATTTAATTTAACATTGGAGTTGGCTTGTGAATATTTCATACATTTTTTTGTGATGTGTTACAGTACGGGTCATTTCAATGTTTATTTTAACAGACAGAAGTTTTACAGTATTAGAACATATTTCATTATTTTATTTGTAAATAAATATGTGTGTGATTGTGTGTGTGTGTGTGAAGGAGAGAGAGGGAGAGGGAGAGAGAGAGATAAGCAATCTATGAAGTAGTTAAATGGGAATGAGAGAGAGGATTTGGGACATAATAATGTAAAAGAGAGAAAGAATGAAGGAGTTCAAAGATAGTCTTGATTAAGAGACCAGTGATACAATTTAATTGGTCCCAGAGACTTATGTTACCATTCCATTGGTCCCAACACTCATGTTACCATTCCATTGGTCCCAGAGACTCGTGATACAATTCCATTGGTCCCAGAGACTCGTGATACAATTCCATTGGTCCCAGAGACTCGTGATACAATTCCATTGGTCCCAGAGACTCGTGATACAATTCAATTGGTCCCAGAGACTCGTGATACAATTCCATTGGTCCCAGAGACTCGTGATACAATTCAATTGGTCCCAGAGACTCGTGATACAATTAAATTGGTCCCAGAGACTCGTGATACAATTCAATTGGTCCCAGAGACTCGTGATACAATTCAATTGGTCCCGGTGAACGTTTTTATTTGGACATCAATTGTCTACATTAAAAATAAATAACTGTTTAAAAAAAATATAATTTCTCCAATTTGATTATTTTAATTATTTCCGTTTTATTGCTGTTTATGAAGGGTTGCCTTTGCTCACATGATTATTGGTCCTCTTTTAACAATTTTACTGCATGTTAGTATTAACTAAAATAAAATGCCTAAATATTTTATTCCGGACAATGTTGTATGTTCACACCTTTTTGTATTTTAATGGTTCAATGTAATTTAGGTTTATTTAAATGGTTCAATGGAATTTAGTTTTATCGAAATGGTTCAATGGAATTTAAGTTCATGTAAATGTTTGAACGGACTTTAGTTTTGGAATGTTAAACAACACGTTGTTGGCAATAAATAAAATATAAATACTACAATGACGTCTGTGGGGTTTTTGTTACCTGTTTTTGTTGATCCATTCCACGACTGCCATAGTGACCAGATATCATTCTGACACGACTCGTGCACGTAGAACGTTATATGACGTCATCATCTGACCCGAGGACTCCAGTAGTGATCACATATCACCTGACACGACCCTTGTCCGCACGACGCTAAACGACGTCCATCACGTGACCCGAGGACTCCGGTAGTGACCACATATCAACTGACACGACCCTTGTTTGTAGGAGCGTGCCATGATGTCACCACGTGACGCGACCACTGTTCACTGTGGCCAGATATCACCTGACATGAGTCTGGTCAGCTGAAGACAGTTCAATGACGTCATCATGGGAGCTGATGACAGTGGGGAAAGCGTTTATTTGTCTGACATCAAACACCGGTCGAACAGACCTGTCGAGAAAGCTACTGTAGTAATAGGCTTTGTCATTTCTAAGACCGGAAAACGTCATAGCGTACTATTCAGGTTAGAAGTATGCTGGCATGTTTCTAGCATGGAAACTTGAAACTTGGCCTGAAATTTTTATTATCATTACCAAATACTGGAACAGAGAGTTAAAGTTCCCCTGTACTTAACTGAAGTAAATAATAAAAAAAAAAAAAAAAACCAACAACAACAACACAAAAACATGCAAACAAAATAACAACAAAAGCCCACACTAAATTTGTTCACTGACGAAATCCTGGTACCGTATAATTTTGCCCCATGATTGGTTTATGGGCTAGACCTACTTATGCCTGCTCAAAGATAATCCTGTACCACCGCCGGCCTTTAGGGTGTGTGACCTGTGCCCTCGCACAGGGCGCCGTGGCCATAGGGGCGCCCGGTAAATATTTAAATTCCTTTAGTTTATTACAGTGTCGTGTGTGAAGCTCGGGTCCCGGGTCGAGGAACGGTATTCTAACTTGTCTTACCATCGCTGAGAGTTGCATGTATAGCAGCGTAGCACGTGCCCCATGGCCTACGTTGATCGGAAAGAGAGCGGAGCCATACAGGGACAGGGAAGGGGGCGCCGAACCGGTGCTTCGCACAGGGCGCAAGTTTACCTAAGGCCGGCGTTGCATGTACGCTTTGCCAGATGAAGACTAAAAAATATGGAGGTTGGGTGGATGGTGGGTGGGGGTAAGTGGTGTTGCAATCTGGTTGGTGTGAAAGAAAATAAGTACCACACGATACGAGAGAGATATGACGAAAAGGCTATCGCTTACAATAGTGTGTATTGTCATCAGCAGAAGAGTGGTGGTCAAATTTCCTGAAACATTCGAAACCGGAAGTGATTGGTCAGGCCACAGCCATGATTCGATCAGAAATAGATGGAACTATGAGTTAAAGAAAATCATTACACTTTAATTATTTTTACGTTTTAATTTTTTTTTTTTCAAATGCGTTTTTACGAAAAGATCACTGCAAAATCACTGGTACAGCACAATGACTGAGACAGTACAATGACTTGTACAGCACATTGTCTGGTACAGCATAATGACTGGTATGCACAATAACAGGTACAGCACAATGAATGGTATGCACAATTACTGGTACAGTACAATTATTGGTAATGACAATTACTGGTGCAGCACAATGACTGGTACAGCACAGTTACTGGTAACTGGGAAATATAGAAGTGCCAGTGAGCCCTAACTAAATTAGTGCTAAGAGAAATCTGTATGAAATTACACTGGTTATTATTAAATATTCTGACATGTATTAAATTGTATTGTTTCATTTAAATTACGCTAACGATTTTTTAAAAATATTTTCAATTCAATATCTTATTATTCTGACATCAACATAATTGCATTTCACTTCTATTTTTAGTCAAAGGCATGCATAGTGCTCTAAAAGGTATATATAAGTTAAAAGGTATATAAAACAAGGCATCACTAAGTAGCAGAGCTACGCGAGGACCGATAGTGGACAGAGATAGCTCACCCTCCTCTTGCCCTGTTGTGACTCTGGCACAGAACGAAAACACTTGGCGAGTCTTTTCTTTTGTGTGTGTGATATGTCGTTCTGGGCTAAGTATGGGGGTTGTGGTAGTGCTGTGTGTTTTGGGGCTTGGTGTGTGGCTTGCTGCGGGGCTATGTCGCTGTTGAGGATAGTACTGTTGTGTCTCTGGCACAGAGCGAAAACACTTGGCGAGTCTTTTTTTTTGTGTGTGTGATTGTGTGTGTGTGTGTGTGTGTGTGTGTGTGTGTGTGTGTGTGTGTGTGAGTGTGTGTGTGTGTGTGTGTGATGCGTTGTCAAATGGTATGCAAAAAGTGATCTCCTACCTCTCATGACCTCATACCCTCCTGACCTCTTACCCATCACGACCTATTAACTCTCGTGACCTCTGACTCCCTCACGACCGCGCATGACAAGAAAATAAATACGCCGAGCTCAACTCAAAAGCGTACACATTGTTAAAATGATATCGGGGCATGTGCATGTGGACAATGGTAGACACGTCAAGTTTTCAATGGGGAACTACATTCATGGGCGCATGCATGATTCTACCAAACTGTTAGGGATGATTTTTTTTTTCCCTTTACAGGCAAAGAAAGTTACCTATCAAAGGGAAATTATTTAGTATCGATTTGGATTTGGTAAGTATTTTGTGGTTGTCTCCCATTGACCAGCAAAAACAAAAATAAATTTTTGTGTCAAGAACTGGACCAAGGCAAGATCAACGCCGGCCTTAGGTAAACTTGCGCCCCTGAGAGAAGCACCCATTCGGCGCCCCCTTCCCTGTACCTGTACGGCTCCGCTCTTTTTCCGATTACGAAGTAGGCTATGGAGTATGTGTTATGATGCTTAAGTACATGTAGCTAAACATACGCATTTTACCATGCACATTAATTTAGACTGTTTAGTTTTTCTACGGTACTTTGTTCCATTTCCAAACCACCTTTGGGGTCGTCCATAATCTGCCCCCCTTTGAGGTAGGGATGATTATACGAAAAGCTAGAAAACCGTTTCTCGCCCCTGGATCCGAGGTTCACACGTCACTATAATAAACTGGGGGAATTTAAATATTTACTGGGCGCCCCGGGCCCCCCTATGGCAACGGCGCCCTGCACGAGGGCACAGGTCGCACACCCTAAGGGTCGTCCTTGGCAAGATGAGTCCATCTGGTAGCACAAACAGACCATAACAACCACTGTGGCGGAAGATGGATCAACACTTTCAAACTATTCCATGAATGGCATTATAACTTTCTACTGTTTATTTTGTAGAGCTCGATGTGCTGAAACTGGATTTAGTTGTTTTGTTTTTTTCTCTGTATGTTTGAATTTGTATTTTGATATAAATTTAATGGTATAATTAAATTGAATACTGTTAGTATCACAAGCTTTGGTCTCTTTTTTCTTTGTATGCTTGCTTTCGGTCCTTTATTTTTTTACTAATTGTTGATTCTAAGAGCCTCAACTTCAAATTGATTAGATTTTTAAAATCATATACAGGTACGTAACACGCCCCTACTTCGTGACAACTGCTATGTCTTCAGAACATAGCCTTCATATAAAGATAATCCATATAAGGTAGGGTACATACAGGGGACTGAAGAGTTGTTGCCCATGTCTGAATATGCAAATGACGTCATTAGATCAACTTTATTAACACAAATTAAAAAAAAAAACTTTGACAAAAAATAAAATCATAAAATCTTATTGGGAGCAATGTGCTCTTTTATTGGGAGCAATGTGCTCTTGTTTCAAATAATAGAGCTGTTGTTTTAATGTGCATGCACAGATGGTTATAATGACAAGCATAATAAAAATAAATACCTTATTAGTTAAATAGTAAAATTCAAGTATAAAAAAACACAAATTGTGGTACATGACAGAAGCTGAGGAATATATTTCTAGATGTGAGGAATGTCGTTAAGGCAGAAAGAAACGGATGCGACAGGGTATTCCCTCTTGCTGTCCTCTCGGATACAACAGTCGAGCTAGTTTTAAATTTTTACATTAGTTTTAGTATTTGTTGGTTTTTTTTTGTGGCTGGAGCAGGCTTCTCTCCGACACGTTCATTGTTAAGTTGTGTCCTCCCCCCCTCCCCCCCTCCACCCCCCCCAGATTTAACCAAAGCCTTGCTTGAAACATTCCTTTGTAGTCTCGTTTGCGGATGAGGTTAAATTTATTTGTGTTTGGAGAGTTTAACTAAAAGACCCTGAGGTCAGTCATGTAAATTTTCAACTCAGATCTTGCGTTCGGTATGTCTACATCAGTTGTCTAATTCAATGGTCTTTTTACTCACCCCTCTTTAACGCAATCGTTTCAGTTACAATTTTAGCAAGTATTGGGCAGACATTGATCATTAATTGAAATAACACCATTTGTAATCTCACATCAATTTGTCCTGAAAAGAAAACATCAGAAAACACAATATCAAACTTTTGGTTGAAAAGCTAATCATGAATGTCTTGTATTTTGGCGACCATCGGCGCCCTGTAAGCGTTGCCTTGACAACCACTCGTCGTGCGTAATCGCGGCGCTACTGCGACTCGTGGCGTTTCTTTGACCTTCACGCGCCTCCTCAATGCGCATGCGCAGGTTGAAAGCCCTTTGTAACCGTTCTCGTTTTTCCAGCTTCTGTCGCCATTGTTGAAAGGATATGTTCTTCTCCAGTCGTTTTGCAAAATTCATCTTCTTAATCTCATCCAGCCTCTGTTCGTCCGCTTTCAGAATCACCTCCAGCATCACTTTCCTTTCCTCGGCGTGAGCCATCCATTCGTCAAAGGTTATCGCCATGGCCAGCAGCTGTTGGCGCTTCTCCTCGAGGCGCCTCTTCGCCTCATCGGCGTCCAGCGTCCTGCAAACGTCCGTGTTGTGACTCTGCCGTTTTTTCCATGCTTTGAATTCATTCACGTACGAAGAAACTTCGGATATCCCCGTGGGTCGTCTCGCGGGAACGCTTGCCATGCCAACCAATCCTTGAACAGACTGCGGCTTTCTAGGGTCAAACTTCCCAGGAGTCTGGTGACTGGTTCTGCTTTTTGGTCTTTCGCGAACCTTTTTCAACCAGCTGTTAAAAGCCGCGTCGTTTTTCTCGTCGCTGTCACCGTCAGATTCACTGGCCGAGTCGCTCGACCCCGAGTCGTTCGTTTCTTGCTGTCGTTTTCGATGGAGCCATTTTTCAAAGGATTCCGCTCTTTTTAAAGCCGCCGTTGATTGGCGTTTACTCTGTTCGGCTAAGTGAATTCTAACCTTTGCCCTCTTCGTGTCATCCAAAGATTTGCTTGTTTCTTTTCGCTTTCTGAAATAAATTAATTTCAAACATTGTAATAAACTCTCCTTTCTTGAACTTTTTTTTATATTTTTTTTTAATACAAACAAGATGATTTCTTACGTTAATAATATGGGCGTTGAGACTAATGGTAAATTCAGGAAGATCTGTTAGAAACATTTACCCACCGTTGCCATAGAGACGAAAAGACAGCATATTTCGGGGTGAAAAAAATATTTAAAATGAAATACAGTTGACAAAACATTACGGACTTGAATTTTGTTGAACGAACAACGTTTTAAGTTACACTGATTTCTGTTTTCTACTTTGCCTTCGTCTGTTGGATGCGTGCTGAAATGTCTGATCATCAGTTAAGTTTGAAAAAAAATTGAATTAAAATCTTTCAGCTCTGAAAGATAAATAGAATCCATGGGAATTTCAACTCTGAGTTGTTGACAACAGATGAGCAAAGAAATAAATCCCACATGCAGTTCCGATAACCAAACGGCTTAAATCACAATGACAGTTTCGAAAAGGTCCAAATACAAAAATAATATCTCAGACATGAAAAGGTTTGGTTAATGAAGGGCCACGGCAATGATGAGCCACGGCAATGAAGAGCCACGGCAATGAAGAGCCATGGGAATGAAGGGCCACGGCAATGAAGAGCCACGGGAATGAAGAGCCATGGGAATGAAGAGCCACGGCAATGAAGAGCCACGGCAATGAAGAGCCACAGCAAAAAAAAAAACTACGTGTGTATATCTTACACATGCAGGCAACTCACTTATCACCTGTCTGATGCACTTACTTATTTCTGCCAAAGGGGGGAGAGGATCCTATGCGGGTCGACAGTTTCGGCCTTTGAATTGTTCCTAAGCTTCCTGGGCAGCTTCTTGCACTGCTGACCCGCCCGTTGGTGACCTTAGGGTCGCTGGTAACACTCCGAGAATCCGCGTCCTTCATTGACGATGTGCTGTCATTGGTCAGAGAAGAGGCGTCATCGATGCGTAACGAAGTCATTGACACGTTGATTTCAGCAGCTTCGGAGCTCCTGTGATTGTTTTCATTGAAGTTGGATGCCGAGAAAGAGTCCCCCAAGGAGTGATCACCAGCATTTGTGGTGTCGCTCAGAATGTCTTGCTCTGGAGCATACATCTGTCCATACGTTTTCACCGGTACCGATACTTTACCTTCTCTAAACGCTGATCTAACTGTCAGGAATTCAGAATCTAAACACTGACCCTCATTCCACGTAATCACGTTCGATAATTCCAGTGGCTTTCTTGGAGAAGGAACGGCTACTCTTAGCTGAGCAGCATTGGGGGTCCTAGGAATGATAGATTGCCCCTGGGGGAGCGTCTGCTGATTTCTAAGGGAAGGTTTAGAATACTTTTGACGATGAGCTTCGGGAGTTGTGGGATCTCCGTTACAAATGTTAAGTCTAACGTTCAGTACCTCGTCATGGAATTTCACACGCCGTGCTGTACTGCTGGATGTGGAAACGCCAGAACGAGGTCTGAAGATTCCGTTAACCTTCTTCGTCCTTGGGCAATTTCCTGACGTCACTTCCCTGTCCCCTCGCGGGGAGTGGTCGTCTTCACTTTGACCACGCCCACCATGTTGGTGAAAAGAAAGGTTGCACGAGCTGCCGGGCGACCTGCTCCTAGGAGAAGACAAGGTGACCCCGTTGCTCCTGGACGGTACCAGCGTCCCCCCATTCCGCAGTTGAAAGGATCTCAAGACGTTGACGCACAGCCTCGAGAATCCTCGCCTCGCCACGTCCAGAGCCGTCTCACCGTTGTAATCTTTGACGGACGTCTTTGCGCCGTGCTTCAGGAGAACCTCCAAGACGCGATCGTTGTCCTTGGCGACGGCTGCGAATATCGCTGTTCGTCGGAATGGTGTCCGGCCATTTGGGTTGACCCCTGTTTAAAATAGTTTAAAAAAACAACAACACTTAAATGAGAAAAAAAATCGATCAAAATAAACATAATAATATAATCATTTATTGTAAATCTAAACCTTGCAACGGTTGATTGTTGTAATTGAAGTTTGAACCTTAATGGCTTCAAAGTTTCAAAACGTAGAGTAGGAGTGAAAGACAGCAAAGTCGACAATTTCGTATAGACCCTTGATATTATAGTCCATATCCAGTTTTAAACCTGACTTCATTTAAACATGACTTTATTTAAAAATGACTTTATTTAAGGTTTAAACCATTAAAACCACAATCATTAACCCCACAATCATTAAGCCCACAATCATTAGACCCACAATCATTAAACTCCCAATAATTAAACCCATTCTCATGCACCTGCGAAACGGCAGGCTGACGTTGTGACCCACCGTGACCCACCTGCGGACAGTAGCGCTTGACACGTGTGATCTGATCCCCTCCAACTGGCCAGGTAGAGAGCCACGGCTCCTCTCTCCTCGACGACGTCATACACTTGACTTTTGTCCACGTCATCTTCGTCAACTTGAGTCATACTAATGGCGCCGTTTCTAGTAAGTCAATTTCAAAGTTTTTTTTAAAAACAAATCTCTAATTAATTAGCACGAGGTAATTTTAACAGTTGTTTAAAAGAGACAATTAAAAAACAAATTTGTTAGTTTTTATATTTACCCATAGCATTACTCCATCAATCATGACAAATTTCCCGAAGAATGTGTTGTATAGCTTACATGTAAACTTACCTCAGCAACCAATCCACATCTCCCGATGTTACGGCGTCATACATTGGCTGCCAACTGTTCAACAGCTGCACCCGTACGATGAAGCCATCCCACACATTTTGACCCACAATCAACTCGCACTCTTCGTGAAGCACCTGGCCATTGCTGCTGGTCAGCTTGTAAACCTGGCCAGGAAGTCCAGCGGCCATTTCGAGTCTGTTCCGGACATCTCTGATTGTGGTTCCGCTGGGGAGACTCCTCAAGGAGCATATCTCTTGGAGTGGTAAGACGACGAACAGGGTAAAGTGTGTCATGTTGTCATCTTACACCCGTGTCACACTGAGACACTCGAGTCACTGAGACATTCGAGTCACTGATACAACAAGTGCGAACAAATGAGGTTTGTGATCACGCGTTTACAAATTAAAGCCATGACAAAGTTAGTTGACAAAATACACCATAACAGCCTGAAAGGAAAATTTTACATTTTTTAGTTAACTAATTTAAAATCAACAATTTTGTGATAGATAAAAAATTTAAAAAAAAAATTATAAAATAGGTGTTTAAAGGGTAATCTGGTAGTTTCCATTTGTTTATTTTTTAGAAAAATAGTTTCAAATTACATCGCTTGCAAAAATTATAAGCTGAAACACAGACCAGATTCATGGGATACGGGAGCATTTTATTCAACAGACTTTGCATTTTTTTAAAATAGAAAGAAATTAATTATATCTATGCAGTAACTATCTTTAAGATTGAATGCACTGGTCGATATACGTCGATGAGAGACTTTGTGTCTAAGCACAACAATATCGTGGCAGGTGAACAGTAACTAAGATCCTGGACTAGGGTTTGCTAACTATCATGTACATGCTACATGCTACATGCTACAGGCTACGCCACAAAATGTCTAAGTAATTGTTTGCAGTTGATGATTAAATCTTAACGTTCGCGATACGTGGTAATGAACTTTCAGCTACATGGTATGGGCGCCCATGGCTACATGTATGGGCGCCCATGGCTACATGTATGGGCGCCCATGGCTACATGTATGGGCGCCCATGGCTACATGTATGGGCGCCCATGGCTACATGTATGGGCGCCCATGGCTACATGTATGGGCGCTCATGGCTACATGTATGGGCGCTCATGGCTACATGTATGGGCGCTCATGGCTACATGTATGGGCGCTCATGGCTACATGTATGGGCGCTCATGGCTACATGTATGGGCGCTCATGGCTACATGTATGGGCGCTCATGGCTACATGTATGGGCGCTCATGGCTACATGTATGGGCGCTCATGGCTACATGTATGGGCGCTCATGGCTACATGTATGGGCGCTCATGGCTACATGTATGGGCGCTCATGGCTACATGTATGGGCGCTCATGGCTACATGTATGGGCGCTCATGGCTACATGTATGGGCGCTCATGGCTACATGTATGGGCGCCCATGGCTACATGTATGTAGTTGTTACATAGATAACAGGGGGGGTGGGTGGGAGGTCAGTGTGAGGGGACGTTCAAACACGTATTTTTCTGCCTAAACCAGATTGGCTGTGATTATGACACATTGTTACGTAAGAATTTGACATGTGACATTCAATTCAATTCGTGAGTTATGCTTGAGGTTTGAATGTCTGGAGAGGAAAAAACAAAATACAAATATCATTGCCCAATCGATATTTATAATTGGATACGCCTCTGTGTGCCTTCCTGTCAGACTGAACATTTTACTTCGTTGTCAAAGGTCGTGTATCCAGAAGTAGCTCCGTGAGGCTTATCTCCCAGCCCAGGCCACAGACTTAAGGTTAACTCACAGACACGGAGATAAGCCTCGAGGAAAAGCCCAGACTGATGACGCTGAGATTAAACAGATCATCAAAGGTATTGGCGGGATCATGCGGGGTTCTTTGCCCCTTCCACGTGTGCTTAGTCCTTATCAGAGAGAGAGAGAGAGAGAGAGAGAGAGAGAGAAAGAGAGAGAGAGAGAGAGAGAGAGAGAAGGAGAGAAGGAGAGAGAGAAGGAGAGAGAAGTTTAGAAATAGTTAGATCTACAAAAAGTGATAAGGAAATGTGAGAATGAGTAAGAGAGTGAGAGGCAGGTAGAGAGAGTGAGAGACAGGTAGAGAGAGAGTGAGAGACAGGTAGAGAGAGACAGGCAGGGAGAGTGAGAGACAGGTAGAGAGAGTGAGAGACAGGTAGAGAGAGTGTGAGACAGGTAGAGAGAGACAGGCAGAGAGAGTGAGAGACAGGTAGAGAGAGTGAGAGACAGGTAGAGAGAGTGAGAGACAGGTAGAGAGAGTGAGAGACAGGTAGAGAGAGTGAGAGACAGGTAGAGAGAGTGAGAGAACGGGTAGAGAGAGAAAGATAGCGAATGAGAGACATAGTTTGTTTTAGTAACAGTTACCCTGTAGTAGAATTTGTTCATTTATTAGGACAATATTTCATTTTTTTTTTGGATAAAGTCGCCTCTAAAAATCCCATCTGTAAACTGACATTAGCAGCAGGTGAAAAAAGTATGTGACCTGCAGTGTTAACAGTTAAATTATAAGTTTCTAAAATAAAAATAACGATGACATGCACTGAGTGACAGCACTATTTAGCCATACGCTAGCACAGAGTGACAGCACTATTTAGCCATACGCCAGCACTGAGGGACAGCACTATTTAGCCATACGCCAGCACTGAGAGACAGCACTATTTAGCCATACGCCAGCATTGAGTGACGGCACTATTTAGCCATACGCCAGCATTGAGTGACGGCACTATTTAGCCATACGCCAGCATTGAGTGACGGCACTATTTAGCCATACTGAGTGACAGCACTGTTTGTCACGATGACACTGCACTGGATGGCCGCACTATTTTTGCCATATGCCAAGTTAAATGACTGGACATCTTCGTATCGAAACAATTTGAAAAGAGGACCAGGGTTTGAAGAGGTCAAGGCCTGTGGGGTCACGTGATTATGATACTTATTAGAATGTAGACATAAAAAATTGATTGGATTGCTGTTAATCACGGGTCGTTGTAAGCTGCCTCAACTAGACAGAAGAAGTACGTCTTGATGGACAGTGTGACATCTGACATGTCAGCAAAAAAAAAAAACTCTTGCTTTTTGAAAACCAACTTTTGATCAAACTGTTTTCCATAGTTACAAAATGATAAATTTTAAAAAATGAGACAAGGGTGATAAAGTGAAGAAGAAGAAAAGCTGGTTTTCAGCATGGGCGTCATTTGGGTAGGGCAGGTGAGGCATTCCCCCTCCCCCCCCCCCCAAATCCCTTGAATTTTCAGGACTTATTTAAATTGACTTGTGCTGTAGCGCCCCCAGTAATAAAAAAAAAAAGCTGGTTTTCAGCATGGGCGTCATTTGGGTAGGGCAGGTGGGGCATTCCCCCTCCCCCCCCCCCCAAATCCCTTGAATTTTCAGGACTTATTTAAATTGAATTGTGCTGTAGCGCCTCCAGTAATAAAAAAACTTGACAAGCCGACCACGTTTTGATTTTGACCCTCACCCACATTAAAACTCCTGAAATGACGCCCCTGGTTGTCAGGAAGGTAATAATTAAAGGTGAGTCTGCTCGATTCTTAAAGACCATTTCTTCCATTAAGACGTGTATTCACTGACCTCTCTTTACAATGTGTGCTGTCTAGGGTATGGAGTAATGAAATTGTAAGTCCTTACTCGATAAATGATCCCATCATGGGGGTGCTGTTCATTGTAAAGGAGGGATGGGGGGGGGTCGGTCCAGGTTCAAGGGAGCATGTGGCGCCTCGTTGTTCGTCATGAGGTCACCTTCCTTGACCCACTTTTTGACCCACTCTTTGACCCACTCTTGGCCAACTCTTGATCCGCTCTTAACTCTCTCCTGGCCAAAATTTGGCCTACTCTAGATTCCCTCTTGACCCACTTTTATTGTGGTCAGTTACAGCCAGAGTGTGATTAGTTACAACGAGAATGTTGCCAGTTACGACCCGAGTGGGTCTAATTCCAACCAGAAGAGAGCCCAAACATCACCTTTCAATACTTACATTATACTTGGAGTTCTATGCCGTGGTTAGAAAGATAACAATCCATTGGATTTTGGGGGACGGGAAAAACAATAACCCGGTGAAAATATTTTAACAATGTTTAAACGATTTATCAATCTGGTGTATAAACGACCGCTTATAACACTTTCCGACCTAGTGCTTCGTGTGGAAATGTGGTTGCTGTGACAAGTTCTCCCAGAATGTTTGATACCCCCCCCCCGGTGCCTCTCTTCACTTCTTGTGGTCTTTCGTCAACAAACTGGTAATCGCTTGAATCGACTTCCTTATCACAATATTCTGATCTAAGTTTTAAGTTAAAGACAACACACTAAGGTTTTGACCCGTGCAGGCTTTTCCACCAATAACTTTGACATTGACCACTCACACACAAAAATCACGATCACTTACCCAATGTTGAATTATGGCCCACTAGACAACGGGTTCTTTATAAGCCACACAGGATCTTAAAATGATCTGTAAGTTTTTAAACCGCGAAGACGCAGTGATGTGTGTCCATAAGCCGAGTGTCTAACACACCTGGACAACACGGGGGCTTCATTGTGGGAACTTACCTGGCTAATACGCTCGTGTCTCACTACTCAACAATGACTTGACTCCCAGGTTTAAAATCACATTTTACACACACCTTAAAAATGTCACATCAAATGAGCTCTGTCAGAATGAGTAATGAAGGCAAAATATCGCAACAATTTCAAGTTTTTCCACACAATCAATTACAGTTGACCCTTCCTACAGCAGCTTACTTTTTAACAACACGGCTTCCAGTGGAATACTAGAGATACCACCAGGGGCGGGTACACGCTGGTTAGAGGACCCGAGAGCCCCATAGTGGTTGTGTGGGGTTTCTAAAATTAGAATTTAGTTTAAAAAAAAAATAAAAATAACATCTGGACCGGATTTTGTTCTTCTACGAAACAATTTTGTTTTGGCCGTTAGATCCTGACAGTATTCGATTCGCCCGTTTGTTTTGGCCGTTAGATCCTGACAGTATTCGATTCACCCGTTTGTTTTGGCCGTTAGATCCTGACAGTATTCGATTCACCCGTTTGTTTTGGCCGTTAGATCCTGACAGTATTCGATTCGCCCGTTTGTTTTGGCCGTTAGATCATGACAGTATTCGATTCGCCCGTTTGTTTTGGCCGTTAGATCATGACAGTATTCGATTCGCCCGTTTGGTTTGGCCGTTAGATCATGACAGTATTCGATTCGCCCGTTTGTTTTGGCCGTTAGATCATGACAGTATTCGATTCGCCCGTTTGGTTTGGCCGTTAGATCATGACAGTGTTGGATTCACCCGTTTGTTTTGGCCGTTAGATCCTGACAGTATTCGATTCGCCCCGACCACCATTGTCTATTATAGAGACGCCCCTGTTAAACTACTTACATTCCACATTGTCTATTACAGAGACGCCCCTGTTACACTACTTACATTCCACAAGGTCTATCGTAAGGACGCTTCTGTAGCACTACTTACAGTAAACATTGTCTATTGTAAGGACGCCCCTGTAGCACTACTTACAGTAAACATTGTCTATTGTAAGGACGCCCCTGTAGCACTACTTACAGTAAACATTGTCTATTGTAGGGACGTCCCTGTAGCACTACTTACAGTAAACATTGTCTATTGTAGCGACGTCCCTGTAGCACTACTTACAGTAAACATTGTCTATTGTAGAGACGTCCCTGTAGCACTACTTACAGTAAACATTGTCTATTGTAGGGACGTCCCTGTAGCACTACTTACAGTAAACATTGTCTATTGTAAGGACGCCCCTGTAGCACTACTTACAGTAAACATTGTCTATTGTAAAGACGCCCCTGTAGCACTACTTACAGTACACTTGATAATCCGCTAAGACTCAGCCGACCCCCCCCCCCCAAAAAAAAACAAAAAAACATTCTCTCCCCCTTACCTTGAACAAATCAATATAAGTCTAGTGTTGCCAAGATCGATATACCCCTGTAGCACTACTTACAGTACACTTGATAATCCGCTAAGACTCAGCCGACCCCCCCCCCCAAAAAAAAACAAAAAAACATTCTCTCCCCCTTACCTTGAACAAATCAATATAAGTCTAGTGTTGCCAAGATCGATATGTTATAGGTTATCGATTATCCCTTGTACTGAATGGGGACCTTTGCCCTCTATACAGTCCATTATTAGGATTTAATCTTTCAAGAGACACGCCCATGAACACGGGATATTGTTCACATGGATAGCGGTGTATTGTACACATGGGCATCTGGATAGTGTACACATGGATATTGGGGAAGAGTTCACATGAATATCAGGGTAGTGTACACATTGACGTCGAATAGTTTACACACGGATATGGTGTAGTGTACACATGGGTATTGGGGGAGTGTTCACATGAATATCAGGTAGTGTACACATGGATATCAGGGTAGTGTACACATAGGCATCGGTGCATTGTAAACTTGGACATTGGGATAGTTTACACCTGGATCTCAGGGTACTGTACACATTGACATCGAATAGTTTACACACGGATATCGGTGTAGTGTACACACTGACATTGGGGCAGTGTAAACATGGACATAGGGTAATGTACAACAGAACGCTAACTTTACTCCATGTTTAAACGTAGCCAGGAAATGACTAGATATTTGAACTGCTAAAGTTAGTATGTCTTTAAAGACCAAGGCTTGGGAATTCAAAAAAAAAAAACAAAAAAACTCAACAAAAAAAACCAACAAAATAGCAACGCATTGTTTAGTTTTCCCACTGCTGTATTGAAATCTATGGCATGGATTTACGACCTTACGCTGACTGGAGAATTGGGTGGTTGGCTGGGTCGGAGAAAGACTGGAGAATTGGGTGGTTGGCTGGGTCGGAGCAAAATGTCAAAGAAATATTTACACTTTTTTTTTTTACTCCGCATCGTTTTATTTTATTTATTTTATTTTTTCTAGAAATATTTCCGAAAATGTGGCGCCCCCCCCCCTTTACAGTAAGGAAAACTGGTTTGAAAACAGCCATTTCTTACATAATTTTTCAATTTCTGGGTAAGTAAACAATTTAGATACAAGCCATGTACAATGAGTCTGCTAAAAAAAATTACGCTTGGAAATGAGTTATGACTGATTAATGCATGCGAAATGGCATGCTCTTTATATCCTTATCGTCTGCCTATCTGTCAACCGGGATCAACCTCGTTTCAACAGCGGCCAACCATCTGTTCTTTTCACGCCTGCTAAATTTTTTTAATATTTTTTTTTTTTTTAAATTTAGTGCGCTCTTCTGTAGAAATGTAGCGTCCAACGGTTCTCACACAGAAACGGATCGATCCTAAATGTTATAAAATAAATCATCGAAGACACGTGACGCCTTACAGTGCAGGGATTTTGTTGCGACCAATATTTACCAACAATTTGGAGAAAAAAAATGGTTATTGTTTACGATCAATTGCAAACTCTGTGAAATATATTTCAGAGGATGTGTTTAAAAAAATCCTATGGCTATATGTGATGATGAAACAACAGACAAAAGAAAAGCGATCGGGAACAATGTCTTCTTTATACTTGAATCCCTTCAATCTGAGACGATGTATGTGATACCTTTGATATCTTTCAATCTGAGACGATGTATGTGATACCTTTGATATCCCTTCAATCTGAGACGATGTATGTGATACCTTTGATATCTTTCAATCTGAGACGATGTATGTGATACCTTTGATAATTTTACGATCCGAGACAATATGAGTGTCACCTTTGATAATTTACGATCTGAGACGATGTGAGTGTTCCCTTTGATAACTTTCGATCTGAGACGATGTATTACCTTTGGTATTTTACGATCTGAGGCAATCTGATTGTTACCTTTGATATCTTACTATCTGAGACATTCTAAGTGTTGACTTTTGATACCCTACGATCTTAGACAATCCAAATGTTACTTTTGATATCTTACGATCTGAGAAATTCTGAGTGTTACCTTTGATATGCTACGATCTGAGATTTAGCGAGTTAAAATATAAGTAATACGGTAAATCATATGTTGAAGCAACCCAAACGACTACGCCGACATGATTGAGACCCCTTTCTTGCATGCAGACAAAACAAGAGAGAGAGAGAGAGAGAGAGAAGGGGAGAGAGAGAGAGAGAGAGAAATTGTTAGCCGTCACGACATTAGCAAGATAAAACAAACATCTTTTTAAAATTAAAATAACTGTAGCAAAACGCCAGGTAACAGCAAACCCTTCTAATGGGCATTTTCCATTTTTAGCTACGTGTAAATTTTAAGTGTTTTGTAGTCAAATTTGTAGTTTTAACATTGAAAGACATTCAATCGGTTCTTTTGGAGTAAATTTCGGCATTTAAAGAGAATGCAGCCTAATGAGAAAGGGATAATTTGAGTTAAGTGGACAGCGGTGCAAGGCAATGAGCTGATTGTTCAAAATCTGACCCATGGGGTGCAGCTGTAGAGACCGTCGTCTCATTATCTTACCACCGGGACATATAACTGACCATCACGATCCCACGAACTGCAGTTTCGGACTTACCACGATGAAGACTGCGTTACTGTTAGGGATTTGTTTCCTGGCATTCTGTCATGTGACAGCTGTCACAGGTGAGTACCCCCCTTTATTCCCTAATATAATGTGACAATGTTCACCGGGAAGAGCCTAGTCAGCTGGTTTCCACGTGGCGTCTGTCCCTAGAAAACCAGTAGGTAAACAGTCGTATGTCTTGTCTTTCGTGTTCAACTTATATCGTTCCGCCTGTTATATACTAGCAATAACATGTTGAAACCCACGGAGGCACAGAATCACGGAGGCCCCCCCCCCCTTTTCCACTTTCCCAAATCCCCACTTTCGCTCGTGAGCCTTCAGCGCCCTCGAATTCTGATCCCGCTACCCCACTAAGCTCTGTAAATAGATCAAAGAATCAACGTTTCTTTTTACAATCGCTTATTCAAGCTGACCCCACTCACACTTACAACCTTATTCAAGCTAAACCCACTCACACTCACAATTTTTGGGATTTGTTTCTCCCTTCACGCGGGGATGTTTGTGAAGCGCTGGAAGGCAAGCGCAAGTTCAATGATAGCTGTGAAAATCGAACGAAAAGATCGATCTCACCCGCATCCACATTTGTTTTAATACCACTTTTATTTTTTAGAAAATTACACTTTTGAATATCTAAAGGTTCGCACTGGTTCATATGACGCACGACAGTTAGTTTCCCCGTTTGCACAGTTTAGTGTGGTTTTCTGAAGGTGCGCATTTATAACGCAAAATAAATGTGCTTTTCTCACTGAGCATTCCGGAGGGAATTACTTACCTGTGATTTTCTTATATACTAGAATATATGACCCAGTGTTATCCGGATAATTATGGAATGCAAATTGCACTATTCTCCAACTGTTAATACAATTTTCGAAAAATTGCCTCCAAATACTCTTATACTGAAATTAATTTTTTTTAAAATATATATTTTTTTTAAATACTTAAAATTTATGCTGCGTCTTACTGTCTGTAGCGTGTTATAGTCCTTAAAATACCGTGAACTAATTGAGTTTGGATATATTGTATAATTAAAAGAATTATATTAAAAATTCAACGTCCTTTTATTATTTATATTTCGGAAATATTAAATTATACCTTGGACAATTTGAAAAAAGAATTCATGTTATTATTTAATTTGTTTCCTTCTTTATCATATAGGCTAACAAAAAAAAATTTCTACTTATGTACTACAAGTAAAACATAT